GAGGTTCTTTTCACTGTCCTTATGGACGTGAAGGGTACTCAAAGAACCATGTGAATGAAAGATGTTTCAGATGTCACAATTCCAAGGATCATAGTCAATCTTTTATTTTTACTTGCAATATTATGCACCATAGGAGTTGGCATTTAATCCCTTGTGGTTTCTCCCTCAACGCTCGCTCAACATCTTAGTTGTTGATACAGCTGGCAGTCAAACAACATCAAACCTCGTCCTCTTTCTGCAATATTTCATCAGCTTCAATTTCAAGGCTTCAGGTAAGCAACAAGGCACAATGGCAGAGAAGAGACGAGCGCCCGACGACTATGTGGAGGATCTGACAGAACGACCTGAGCCCATGACGTCCAAGAAAGTACGATTCCAGCTTCCTCGGAATGAAGAAGGCCTTCCTGAGAAAGACGTTCCAGCTACAGACGCTGATAACGAGCTGATGGCAAGATTGCGTGTAATGCGTGTGAAGGAGCTGGTTCACGATATTCTGGCTGCGATGTACTACGACATCCATCAACTCTGCTGGCTTCGCAATCACCTCATGCAGAACCGTATCAGACGCTTTCCGGACCTACGTTTCTACAAAACTCAACACCAAGAAGCAACCTGGCTATTAGACAGAGCTATTCGCCAGGAAATGCTTGCGAAGGTAGGCCAGCCAAGCGGTCACGATTGGACTTACACATCGAAGCAGGAAACACACCGTGTTGGCCAATTCATTCGACAGTTTAATTGGAGGATGTTGGCCATATGCGCGCTCTCAGAAGCCTTCCGGTTGGCACTTTATGCAGAAGATCAAGTGGTCTGGGCAGTTTTGATGCTCAAGATCAGGGAAAACCGGACCAGCATTGACCTCTTTGCGCAGTCGCGAGGCTTGGACTGGCAAGGCCAGCTATTGAAACATGCGGACAAACAGATACCGGGGCTCCAACAAGCACTGATTCCGAGGCTCGATCTGGCTCAAGAGCACTTTCATCATATAGTCATTGCAAATGGCTCTCTTCGAAGGCCTCTGTACGAAGAACACAACCAGATCAACATCGAGCAAGGGAATATATTCAATCCCAGCTACTTCAAAGACAAGAAAGACCCCACGATTCGCGTTCCCGACCGCGACGGACCTTGCGATCTCTGTTATGCAGAGCGCGAATGCAATTGCAGGATATCTCGCCCGACTCTTGCAACGCTTTTGGTTGAACTTGTTAACTACCCTCATAAAGGAATTGGAGTACGGGCTCTGGCCCGATTCAAGAAGGGAGACATCCTCGACGAGTATGTCGGGGAGCTTCGGCCTGTAGACTACAAGGATGATCGTGTATACGCTCTGCTGCACGAATCCAAGATGGATGAAGGTCATCCACTTGCTTTGATATCGGCGAAACGGTACGGTAATTGGACTCGGTACCTCAATCACTCTTGCAAGCCGTCGACAACGTTTCTCAAGATGACCGTTGGCAAGAAAATCACAGTTGCTGTCCAGGCAGTCAGGGATATTGACATTTTCGAGGAGATTACTGTTGATTATGGCAAAGGCTACTGGAAGAATAGGAAGTGTCTTTGCGGGGAACCTGGTTGTCTCTCGCAGGATGCCACCGAAGAGAAGACTGAGGCTTGAATTCTCATCAACTTTTCTCGTTAGTCCATTGATTGTGTACTTTACAGCACTTGTCATGTTTGTGTGGTTGGGATTAATGTTCAAGCACCACTGTTATTCGGATAGAACCGAGCTGCTACTCAGAGGTATGTAATAATCAAGTTACAGGTCTGGTATTTATTTATTTGCTTTGGTTTACGGAGTACTGCTTCGGCTAGCCTCGGACTCCACCAAGTGGGACCTCAATGCCTCCAGATAGTCTAAGTCTAGTGACTCTGGCTTACTCCACTAGGATGAAGCCATTATGCTGCCCCGGAGTAAACTAGTCTACTCGACACAGAGTACCTAGTCGTTCACTAGTTGTCAACAAGAGGTCGATGCTTTCCTCGGAAATAGTGACCTCTCATCAACCCCGCATTTGCTGCAGCCGGCACGTGCGGGGAAAGCATTAAGGGAGCTTCACCCACTATGAAACCAAACAGCCAGGCACACTCTCTCAATCCTTGCATGATTCAAATGAACCAGTATTGCTTGTTAGTATCCTTTTGAATTCTTAAGGAGGAGCCTTTCAATCGAAGTGAACAGAATAGAGAAGCATTGTATCTTGCTAGCCCTCAGGACAGACCCGGAGGAAGGGGTCGTGTACAGGACAGCTGAGGGCCCGATTCACTGTGGCCTCGGATTCTATACTCGTCTCAGCTCGCGAGAGCTATGAACTATCGATAGCATGCGCATGTTTACCGTGCGTCGCGCGGGGATTCTCCCTCGTCAAAACTGGGGGATTGGCTTCCCCTTGAGGGCTCTCCAGAAAGTGCCGTCAGCACGACGAGGGCTGCTCACTCAGAGCTATGCTTGTGGACCAAGAGAGGTGAGTACGCATTATGGGATTAATAGTGAGTATCTGAAGCAGGCTGACATTACCTCGATATTAAGCCACCTTTGATTGACTCTACTGTTGGAGACCACTTCGCCAGTATTGTCAGCCAATATGGCGATGAGGAAGCGTACGTGGACTGATCTTGCAGGTCGATCATGCTAGACTTGAGCAACATGACTGACTCTCGTGCATTTTAAAGTGTCATATCAAAGCATCAGAATCACAGATTGACCTACGCCTCACTCGATGCCAAAAGTAATGCCCTTGCGCGGGGACTGGAATCCGTGGGTGTACAGAAAGGGAACCGTGTCGGCATCATGCTTGGAAATTCCTCGGAGTATGCCATTGTATGTCGTCTTCTTCTAGCCACTTCCCATGAGCTGCGTTCGTTGCTGGAGATTAATCACATTTGAGTCTTGCAGGCAACCTATGCATTGTTCAAAGTCGGAGCCATCCTGGTATGTTCCAACATGAACGGCCGATTCCGATGAACAGTTGTCCGCTGAACCACGCCTTTCAGGTACCGCTTAATCCTTCTTTCAATGCAACTCAAGTCATCTCGGCGTTAAGTCACCTTGGAGCCGCCCATTTGATCATCAGTGCCGAGTCCAACTTACCGCGGAAAGACCCCCGGAGCAATGTCCCACTACTCAAGCACCTTGTTCAGGATCTCCACACAGGAAGATTAGAGTCCGCAGTGGTGCCTTCACTGAAGAACGTCATATTTGTTGACAACTCTTCCGGCAGAGTCAATTGGTCCGACTACAGGAGCCTGACGCCTTTCACGTCCGTCATGTCCGACAATATCGCTGATGCGAATCCATTGGCGCCTCAGGACCTCTCGCCTCACGATATAGTGAACATCCAATTTACATCAGGCACCACGGCCATGCCCAAAGCAGCATGCCTGAGCCACCGCTCAATCTTGAATAATGGTGCTCAGATTGGTGATCGAATGCGGTTGACCGCAAAGGATATTGTATGCTGTCCTCCACCTTTGTTTCACTGCTTTGGATGCATTCTGGGCTACATGGCAACTGCTACTCACGGCTCCGCCATTGTATTCCCCACGGAATCCTTCAACGCCCGTGCCACTCTGAAAGCCGTGCAGGAGGAAAAATGTACAGCCCTATATGGCGTGCCTACCATGTTCCTTGAAGAGCTCGGCCTGCTTCAGGACGGTGAAGTAGAATATAAAGGGTTTGAGTTTCTCCGGACAGGCATCGCTGCTGGTAGCAGTATTCCGGAAGCGCTCATGAAGAAGCTGCATAAGGTCCTTAATCTCACAGAATTGACCATCTGCTACGGCATGACAGAAACTAGCCCTGTCTCCGCCATGACAGCAACCGACGACCCGTTAGACAAACGGATTAGTACCGTTGGTAGACTGATGCCTCACGTTGAAGCCAAGGTTGTGGACCCAGCAGATCGAAGCAAGATACTCCCCATCAACACCCGGGGCGAGCTAGCTGTGTCTGGGTACTTACTGATGAAGGAGTACTGGGGCGATCCACACAGGACCGCCGAAGTAATGATCGCAGACCAAGAAGGGAAGATCTGGATGCATGTAAGCCACCCCTCCCCAAGTGGCGTTCCTAGACTTTAGGCACCATAAGGTAGCAGGACATCTGACCGAGGACCATAGACTGGCGATGAAGCCTCCATGTCACCGGATGGCTACATCACGATCACGGGCCGTATCAAAGATCTCATCATCCGAGGAGGCGAGAACATTCACCCTCTCGAGATCGAGAACTGTCTCCTTACCTGCCCCGGCGTGGCCGATGTGTCCGTCGTTGGTGTTCCAGACGAGAGATACGGTGAGGTGGTGGCTGCTTTCATCATTTGCAAGGAGCAGGATCGCAGGACAGTGACCGAGGACAAGATCAAAGAGTGGGTTCGCGAGCGACTGAGTAACCACCTCGGTAAGCATCTCCTGCCTTTTCATCTAGTGGCAAGGCATCCTACAATACATCGATATACTAACCAGAATTATCATGCTAATAGTTCCGAAATATGTGTTCTTCCTTTCACATTCCGATTCTTTCCCCAAGACTGCGAGCGGCAAAATTCAAAAGTTCAAGCTGAAGGAGACTGCCATCAGGATTTTGAAAGAGCAGAGCAATGCTAATTAGACCCTGGAGAGGAACCGAGGTTATTCTAGAACCTACCGAGTGATAACGATCGTTTTCCAATAGAAGGACTTGCAGGAGCGTATTTCTCGCATTGAACATCTTCTTTGCCATTCCTCAGTCATCTTTACCGTCATAAGCGCTGTCCTGAGTAGAACTCGAATAATCTGGATATCATTACAGAAATATCGACATAAGGCCTGAAATCCAACTATAGCAATTTCTCTGTACCGAGACAAAGCAAGTAGCCATTCTCAAAATTGCAGCCATTATATGCACGCGAAGCAAAGTCAATAGCAAGACAATATTCAAATCAGTTACACGTACAAACACGAGAGGATGACTGAACAGTCTGCAGAAAGATGGTCGAATAACACACGCAAGCATCGCGCTAGATATAGCGCTGGAAGAAGCCTTTCTTCGCTGGGGGCAGATGATTGTGAACCTTTGGATAAACTATGCCATCAACTTCCTCAAAGCAATTAGACGGCTTGCCTGGTTCGGGACAACAACATTCAATCCTCTTGACCCAGCGATCATTCATCACATCGCAGATGGTAGCCCGTCTCTCTGGGATAGGATGGAGCATCCGTAGGATAAGACGCCGAAGAGGTTTTGTGCGAAGATCCGAGAAGAATTTCCCGATTTTAGGATACACATCCCCTGTGATAATTCCAACCGGCTCGCTTCTCAAGAACTCTTCCCACCATTTGAGATAGCGAGAATACCCGGCGTCCTTTTCTTCTGCGGCTCCCCATGGCGTACCGCAGTGGAGCATGGCAAGGCAGACGATGGCACAAGACCATATGTCAAGCAAGCGTGGGTCGTAGCTTCCTGGGATCGAACGACGGTTAGGAGACCATAACATAAAGTAGCAAAGGGAGTGCAGGGGTACTTACGGTCTTCCGCCAGAACTTCTGGTGCAATATATGGCAGGCTGCCACAAACCCCAGGGCCACATTTGCGAATCTTACCAAATGCTTCCGCACATCCTCCGTCATTTGACCGCAAATCTCGGTGGAGCTCACTGAAGACTTTGGCGCATCCGAAGTCGGTGATCTTTAAGTGACTGTCTCCTGCCAAGAGCAAATTTTCTAGTTTGATATCGCGGTGCGCAATTCCAATGCTATGTAAATATGCGACGCCTTGGAAGAGTTGTTTGAACAGACACAGCTGACCTTCGAACGAAAGATATCGTTGTTGCACGATTGTAAACAAGTCCCCTTGACTGCAGTATTCCATAACATGAGACCAACGGCCTGCGTGGGAGCAAAGACGGACAGTCTCCACGATATTAGGATGACGCAGGCTCTTGGCGATGCTGAACTCCAGTTTGATCTTTCTGTCGTAAGCTTGCAGGCTCTCCTTGCGACTTCTGCGGAATTCCTTCACCGCATAATAGTGCTGCTTTCCGGGTCCTTTCCTGTGCATCAGTTTGACAGTAGCCGTGACACCTTTACCGATGACCTTGCCGCGCAAGCCAGGAATGATGCTGGTGTCGACAAATTCGTCACCAAGTTTGCAGCTATCAACTGTGAGAGCCTCGGGAAGAGTTGCATCTGCAAGCGGAGACTTGCCTTTCCCGTCCACTGGAATCGAAAAGCCTGGTATCTCGAAGTCGTCAGGGATTGTGCCCCATGTGCGAGATTTCGTGAGAATCAGAGAACTGTCTGACCGAGAAGCAAGGCGACGACCTGTCTCCTTAACTACGCCCGAAGATGATGACTCGCACTGTTCGTTGATATCTATGTTGAAGATGAGTTAGTAATTTGCAAGACATAATCTCAAGTGGCCGCACGAATTCGCGGGATGAAGGTTTACATACTATTGGCGTCGTTCTTAGTGGAGATGTTGAGGACAGAGTGCATAGCCGACTTGTGTACGTCATCAACTTTAGGGTCTAAACGACGAAATAGACCTCTGAGTGAGATAGATGCGAGGTTGAGCGGTTCTTGCTTGGGAGCCGGATTGCTAAATGACGAAGATGATGAATGGGGCTGGGGACAGCTGAAAACCGACTGAGGTGATGTCGAGGCTGTAGTCCCCGTCTTCGCAGTCTTCAATGTATCGATGGCTAAGGAGCTTCTTTCCTTCCCCGAGGGTCCGGCGTCATTCGTGTAGCATGGCACATCGTCAGATCTCTTATATGCCCGAGGACTGCAATTCAAGCTGTCTGTTTCGGTGCTACGTTCAGAGCGTCCAGTATGGATACCCCCTGCTATGATCTGTTGATTTGACTCTTCAGAACAGAAGGGGTAATAATAGCCTGGCTCATGCCCTTGCACCACTCCTCTGCCAGAAGGCGAGGAACACTCAGACTGAGTCATGTTTTGTACTGTAGTTGCTCAAGAAAAGGAACAAACAGTAGCAGACTGATAAGGGAATGAGTTGAATAAATGTATTAAAGTATAATGTAGCGAAGTCTTGTTCTTTGAATGATCAGGAAAGCGCAAAGGTAACTGCGAGAGAGAAAGAGGTGAGGAAGGAGAGGAAAAGAGGGTGGGCGAAGTCGTGCCGCCGACTCGAGGACGTTATCTCATCATTGCACCGACACTTGGGAGTCATATTGCTTGCCTAAGGCACGACATCACGACATTATGCTCGAATTTCCTCATCAAAGATGCATGACTGACTATTCGGCATATATTGACGGAATGTGTGAACATAGCGCAATATCGATCGCTTTCCAGGAAGCGCATAAATCGGATATCTTGCTACCTGACTCGATGAAGCATGGAGTAGGTAGGTTGGAGTTAGCGAAAGGTAAGGCGCCGTGTATGATCTTTGTCGAGACGACGATTCTTGTCCAATGATCAGAGCGCAATCATAGTCCAGTGAATTGAGGTATCCATACTAAGCAAGCAATCAACCATCCGCTGGTCTTACCAAGTGAGCCTATGGGTAGGTAAGAAAGTTTCAGCGTTCTTCCAACTGGTCAACTCCAGGTATCGACCACCCACAGCAAGCCCTTAGATGCGATTATAGCGGTTCGTGGGAATAGAATACCCATACCATGCATTCAGAGGCCGCTTTCCTGGCTGTCGCCGCTGTCAGAAGCCCGGCGGCACCGATACAAGAAACTTCAAACTGCTGGAAGTGCATTCCATTGCTTCCAGCTTGAGTGGTTGAGTGCCAGTCTTGCGCGGACCTGCGAGCGGCACACGGATGTGGGAGTCACTAAGCCTGGCGATTTCCGCTCCTTGATTGATCGAAAACCCGCCGACTGCTCGAACTTCATTGTCAGAGACGGCAACTCAGGGTCATTAACCGCTCAAAAATCCTGTATGCCTGTCTCTCCCTGCAAGCGAGACTTGATATTCCCATCTTCAGTCCCCTCAACTATCCACTCAGGCTCTTCGTCGTCAAAGTAACGCTCCTGCTCCTCAGTCCAGTCATCGTATTCATCATTCTCGTCAACTTGCGCGTAGTCAAAGTCGCAGTCCTCCCCTTTCAGGAAACGCATCGTCATTTCCCAGCGCCAAAGCTTTTCAGCTTCCTCTTTGCTTGTGGGTATCTCGTCTGCGTCCTCCGCAATGATCTCCCCGCTTGGACCACGACTATAGCTGAACATCGCATGGGGGTTGGGATTATTGAGAGCATCAAGCTTGGCCTCCGAGCGTTGCAAGTCCGCTTGAAGAATACCGGAAAACCCTTTCGCTCTCCCTTCGGCTTCTCTTTCTGCAGGTGTTTGGAACCGGCGGATTAGTCGATCGTATAGCAACGGGTCTACAGGAGCTGAATATTAGCTTATGAGGCCTCTTATCCAAAGAAGCCATCAGTCTCTTAAGCAAAACGAGGATAGAGCAAGCGGACCGGCGAGCTCAAGGTCAGCGGAGAAGTACTCCGGATGCATGTCCAGATAGCGCTTGCGACGGTTTTTCACTCTCATGGCAGGGGACGGTTGCACTGAGCTGGACTTGACGTTCCGCTGTGCGCCGTCTGACTTCATCTCGAATCCAGTACCCTTGGGGAAATGAGGCATGTCTGCACATAAACCAATAAGCGGTGAGCTAACATATGGTGACAGAGAGAAATCAAGATGACGGAGTGGTGTTGAAAGAGCCAAAAGAGCCACCAGCAGCTGTTTTGAGACTAACCAGTTCGAGTAATTCCCAAGAAGCACTGCGGAACGCTGCGGGCGGGCAAATTCCCTTCGTCTCCGCCGCCGTCAGTCCAGCAGCGAATAACAGCCCACAGACGGCCAGACGATGGATATTCGGCATTCTATCTGAAAAGAGGTCATGTAAGAGCTATCTACTCCTGTTTGTTTCATATTTGCCATTCTGGTCCTTATATTGGGCCTCTTCTTTTCCTTTGGGCTGCCGTCTCTTATCGGCGTCTTGTTCGCATCTTTTACTGTTCAAGGGTCGAGCGCGATGCTATGATATTGAAATAACCAGGCCCTTACGTTGAAGCCTTGCAGACTAGCCGCAGCTGATTACTTCGACAGTTGGATACAGAGCCGAAACAGACACGTTGAAAGCTCGACATCATGTCTTCTCCAGGAGGAATGCTCCAGCACGTCAAGCTTGAGAAGCTTCTGCCAGGTGTGGCATTGCTGTTCCTCACTGCTTTCTATTCGCCTATCTTTCTCTTGACACTGTCACCGGTTTTTGGCTCTGCACCGTCCCATATCTTTCACGGGTATGGAGTAGCTGTCACTGCCGCTGCTGGCTGGTTCTTTAAGGACGTGATCCATCGGCTGTCTGGTCGCAGAGCAGTATATTTGGTCCCCGTTCTCGCATTCTGGGTGCCGACCATCCAGTATTTCATGTTTCACCAGAGCTCATCTTTCGGGAATCCAACCGGCCCGCTAATTATTGATATATTTACCTTTTACCCTCTGGTACTGGTTTCTGTGGCCTGTGCCGGGAAACTATTGCAGGCGGGCCTGAACATGAACCAGCATGGAGACCTGATGACAGAGCATATTCCCCTTCTCGGATCCTATGTTATCTACTCCGTAGGAGAACATTTCTCAAAAGCGTTTATCTCGAAGTTCATTGGCTTGACCTTCTTTCTGAGCCGTGGCGGCCTTCAATTGCTGATTGCGAGCTTCTATTCGGCTGCCATCCCATCCAAATGGCTGATATTAGCCGTTCCATCTATCCTCTTCTCTCTCACGTCTAATGTGCACATGCCCTTCGGCCGCACAACTGCCGCTTTGAACTCTGCTATTCAAGTGGAAGGTTATGAACTTCTCGCTAGACAGGATTCTTCCACAGGGTACATATCTGTTTTGGAGAACTTGGAAGATGGCTTCCGAGTGATGCGGTGTGATCATAGTCTCCTTGGTGGTCAATGGACAAAGATGCCGCGCAATTACCATCCCGAGGTCAAGGACCCCATCTATGCTGTGTTTGCTATGCTCGAAGCCATCCGTTTGATCGAAACCGACCACGGCGAGGCGCGCGTGGATGCCAACAGCAAGGCTCTCGTCATGTAAGCAACCATGCCACGACGTCAAATTTGTGGAGGCAAGGCAGTCAGCTGACTGAACCTTTTTAGTGGACTCGGGGTTGGCACCACCCCCGCTGCGTTGATTACGCACGGAATCGAGACCACAATCGTGGAGATTGATCCGGTTGTGCATAAATTCGCCGCGGAATACTTCCACCTACCCTCCAATCACATTGCGGCTATTGAAGATGCTACAGTGTTTGTGAAGCGTGCCCAGGAATCCCCCAACCCTGCTCAATATGACTACATTGTCCACGATGTCTTCACGGGCGGGGCGGAACCACTCGAGCTCTTCACAATCGAGTTCATCAAGGGTCTATATGACCTATTGAAAGACGATGGTGTTATTGCCATTGTAAGAGCCACCCCTCCAACTCCGTCACCTCATCCACTGATAATATCCACAGAACTACGCCGGCGATATCTCACTTTACCCAGCCGCACTCACCGTGCGAACAATCAAGGCAGTCTTCCCGTCGTGCCGAATCTTCCGCGAAGACGCAGCGGCAGATGCCAAATTCGATTTCACCAACATGGTGATCTTTTGCAAGAAAAGCAACACGCCCCTTCGCTTCAGGGACCCAGTCAAGGCCGATTTCCTGGGAAGCAGGTCTCGTCAAAACTACCTTGTGCCCAAGCACGAGGTTGACCCAGCCCAATTCGACAAGATCGAGAAGGGCGGAAGGCGTGTTCTGGTTGCGAAAGAAACGGGCCGTCTTCATAAGTACCAGGATCGTGGTGCAATTGCCCATTGGGAGATCATGAGGACGGTCATGCCGGATGCGGTTTGGGAGAATTGGTGAAATGATTTATATACTTGTGTATGTATTACTATCAATCTTCTGAAAAGTCTCTTGCTTGCACAGCTTTATTGTGAAGAATCATCCGACGTGTTTTGAAAGCTCCGGCTCAGCCTTATGTTCATGAAAGTATGCGACGTATCATAAGCTTGAAAAAAAAGTCGGAAAGACGTGCTACCAATTTCTTTGCAGCTAGCCACCACAAGACGCGCACCTCGCAGATTCCCCCGAGACAATCCAACAGTAATTGGTGGTGGTGGTGGTGGTGGTGGTGGTCATATTATGATATCATTCGGTTGGATAAGATATAGCTCCGCAGATAGACAAAGGGAATATGTGCTAGTCAGATATGTCGCCCAACTCTAAGACTCCTAATCCACCGTAATGGCTATTCTGGTATCGAAAACAAAGAGCGTCGCCAAGCCGATATCCTCGATCCTTGGAGTATGTACTGAACGGGAACGATAAAAGTACAATTAAAAGGGCGCTCAACTCAACTCATCGGAATTCAAGCCGACGGGCTTCCACGCGGACTCGTTCCAGGTTTCTTGACTAAGCCTGCAAAGAAATTCGCCAACGCTTGATTGTGTGCCTTTTCATCCCCCGGTGACGAAACGACCTCTTTTCTCTGGGCTCGGCTAGCCTCTCTCTCCTGCGAACGATTAGCATAAACATTCGAAGCACATCTTCCTCCAAGTGGATTCGGGAGCTTACTTTGAGTTTCCGCAGCATATCGTCAGCGTCGACTTGGATACCTCCCATGTTGAATTGCACCGGCCCAATGTGCTCGTTGACCCGACCGTTATCTTCTAAAGGCGACATTTCAAGTTGAGGCACTTGTTTTGTGGCACGGTCCTTCTCATCTTCCAGCTTCAGTTGCTCCAGGACATCTAGTTGCTTGGCAAGGAAGCTCTGCATGTCCATTGTCTCCACTTCGATCTTGTTCGCGCTATTTTGGTTCCCGGGATGCGCCATCGCGGTATTGCGCTTCGGATCTGAGATCGTTTGTTCGAATATTGTCACAGCGCTGGTCCCGTCTTCGGCACCTATTGCGCTGTCGTCCTGAG